TGTGTCGGTGGTAGTGGTGATGATGGCGGTAGTAGTAGTATGTGTCGGTGGTATGATAGTAGTCATGTGCCGGTGGTGATGTGGTGATGATGGCGGTAGTAGTGGTGATGATGTAGATATGATGGCGGTAGTAATAGTATGTGTCGGTGGTGATGGTGATGATGGCGGTAGTAGTATGTGTCGGTGGTTGTGGTGATGATGGCGGTAGTAGTAGTATGTGTCGGTGGTTGTGGTGATGATGGCGGTAGTAGTAGTGTGTCGGTGGTAGTGGTGATGATGGCGGTAGTAGTAGTATGTGTCGGTGGTTGTGGTGATGATGGCGGTAGTAGTAGTATGTGTCGGTGGTTGTGGTGATGATGGCGGTAGTAGTGGTATGTGTCTGTGGTTGTGGTGATGATGGGGGTAGTAGTGTGTGTCGGTGGTTGTGGTGATGATGGGGGTAGTAGTAGTGTGTGTCGGTGGTTGTGGTGATGATGGCGGTAGTAGTAGTATGTGTCGGTGGTTGTGGTGATGATGGCGGTAGTAGTAGTATGTGTCGGTGGTTGTGGTGATGATGGCGGTAGTAGTGGTATGTGTCTGTGGTTGTGGTGATGATGGCGGTAGTAGTGGTATGTGTCTGTGGTTGTGGTGATGATGGGGGTAGTAGTAGTGTGTGTCGGTGGTTGTGGTGATGATGGGGGTAGTAGTAGTGTGTCGGTGGTTGTGGTGATGATGGGGTAGTAGTAGTAGTATGTGTCGGTGGTTGTGGTGATGATGGCGGTAGTAGTAGTATGCGTCGGTGGTTGTGGTGATGATGGGGGTAGTAGTATGTGTCGGTGGTAGTGGTGATGATGGCGGTAGTAGTAGTGTTTGTCGGTGGTTGTGGTGATGATGGCGGTAGTAGTAGTATGTGTAGGTGGTTGTGGTGATGATGGCGGTAGTAGTAGTGTTTGTCGGTGGTTGTGGTGATGATGGGGGTAGTAGTAGTGTGTGTCGGTGGTTGTGGTGATGATGGGGGTAGTAGTAGTATGTGTCGGTGGTTGTGGTGATGATGGCGGTAGTAGTAGTATGTGTCGGTGGTTGTGGTGATGATGGCGGTAGTAGTAGTGTTTGTCGGTGGTTGTGGTGATGATGGGGGTAGTAGTAGTGTGTGTCGGTGGTTGTGGTGATGATGGGGGTAGTAGTAGTATGTGTCGGTGGTTGTGGTGATGATGGCGGTAGTAGTAGTATGTGTCGGTGGTTGTGGTGATGATGGCGGTAGTAGTAGTATGTGTCGGTGGTTGTGGGTGATGGTTATGACTGTAGTAGTAGTGTTTGTCGGTGGTTGTGGTGATGATGGGGGTAGTAGTAGTGTGTGTCGGTGGTTGTGGTGATGATGGGGGTAGTAGTAGTATGTGTCGGTGGTTGTGGTGATGATGGCGGTAGTAGTAGTATGTGTCGGTGGTAGTGGTGATGATGGCGGTAGTAGTAGTATGTGTCGGTGGTTGTGGGTGATGGTTATGACTGTAGTAGTAGTGTTTGTCGGTGGTAGTGGTGATGATGGCGGTAGTAGTAGTGTGTGTCGGTGGTAGTGGTGATGGTAGAGGTGGTAGTGATGTCACTGTAAGTTGTTCACTGTGCAATACCTGTGTTTGGGCTCATTGTTTTCAATGCTGAAAGGGTGGATTTGTAAACTGAAATGACTGACCTGTGTTTACAGGGCATTATTCCGTCATGTATATATTCACATATGTATGTATGTTACAGACACGACAGAGTGTCTTTCAATCTGCAGCGAGATCCCCCGCACTGTTCCAACTATGAGGGCCGTCTTGTGACTTTCTCAGCCTGTTGTGGATATTCTGTTGGAGCGACACAGTCAGGTTTAAGCAGTGCCTGTTGGGAGCTCGCGTCCGGCAAAACTCGTGTGACGGACACGTAAATTATTCTAGTCGAGCATTTGTAGAATTTCGTATGTGCGTGTGTAGGTCCCGTGAATGTCGAATTCCTTCAGACCCACCTCTTTGAAGTCCTGTGTCAATTGTCACCTGTGGGTGCCCGTTTCCCCATCGGGGTAGGTGTTAGAAATCCACGCGATGATCCCGTCTCCCCCACACAGAACTAATGGCAGGAACACAAACACACTTCAAAAGATCTTTTATATTCTTATCATATGAGAATCGTCTTGCACTTTCAATGTCAGTAAGCTCTCATCAGGACTGGTGAAAACACTAATCCCGCTTTCCCAAGTAACACTTTGTTGAACACATATTTTGTTGTGTTAATATGATTCTTTAGACACAAACAAATTGCCTGAACGCATGCTGCCACCTAGCACCTGCATGTGAGGCCGTTCAGAGATATGGGTGTGTGGTGGCGATGGTATAACTGTATGTAACTCTTGTTTGCAATCGTATCTATGTATTCCGTTTGAACGTTGAGAAGAGTCAAATGCGTGTCCAGTGTCGAACATTTTTTGTTCTGTGTCTGTTGGTATGAATGTGTCAATTGGTTTCATCACATGTACCTCGGTCACGAGTCGGGCCGTGAGATGCGATTACATAACTTTTCCTTCGATCACTGGAGTCATAAAGTACTGGTGACCAGTCAAGGGTCCAGTGGATGGTCAGTCCGTGACCAAACCTGCCTTCCTTCCCAGGCAATCTGTCTCCGTACGTGTCGTCTGCTCGCGGGCTTGTCGCCATCTTGTCGTGTACGACATGGGGACATCTCCGTCTCTTTTCTGTTCTGTTACATCACACCAGGCTCAGATCGCAGACACAGGTCCGGGGAATGGACAGTGGGGTTGATGGGACGGGGAAGGGGGCGTGGATGTAGTGGGGTGATATCGTTTTGAGGTAGTGGCGAAATAGGTGACATTGTGAAACAGATGAGACAGAGAACGAGGGTGAAACAAGAGGCAGGGTGAGACATGGGATAGACTGATAGAGGGGAACATGGTGAGATAGGAAGCAGGGAGAACACATGGCGACAGAAAGATCACGAGTGAGACATGGTGATAGACTGATGGAGGGGAACATGGTGAGATAGGCAGCAAGGACAACACATGGCGACAGGGAGATCACGTGTGAGACATGGTGATAGACTGATGGAGGGGAACATGGTGAGATAGGCAGTAAGGACAACACATGGCGACAGAAAGATCAAGTGTGAGACATGGTGATAGACTGATGGAGGGGAACATGGTGAGATAGGCAGTAAGGACAACACATGGCGACAGAAAGATCAAGTGTGAGACATGGTGATAGACTGATGGAGGGGAACATGGTGAGATAGGCAGTAAGGACAACACATGGCGACAGAAAGATCAAGTGTGAGACATGGGATAGACTGATGGAGGGGAACATGGTGAGATAGGTAGCAGGGACAACACATGGCGACAGAAAGATCACGTGTGAAACATGGGGTAGACTGATGGAGGGGAACATGGTGAGATAGGCAGGGACAACACATGGCGACAGAAAGATCAAGTGTGAGACATGGGATAGACTGATGGAGGGGAACATGGTGAGATAGGTAGCAGGGACAACACATGGCGACAGAAAGATCAAGTGTGAGACATGGGATAGACTGATGGAGGGGAACATGGTGAGATCGGTAGCAGGGACAACACATGGCGACAGAAAGATCAAGTGTGAGACATGGGATAGACTGATGGAGGGGAACATGGTGAGATAGGTAGCAGGGACAACACATGGCGACAGAAAGATCACGTGTGAGACATGGGGTAGACTGATGGAGGGGAACATGGTGAGATAGGTAGCAGGGACAACACATGGCGACAGAAAGATCACGTGTGAGACATGGGACTGATGGAGGGAACATGGTGAGATAGGTAGCAGTGACAACACATGGCGACAGAAAGATCACGTGTGAGACATGGGATAGACTGATGGAGGGGAACATGGTGAGATAGGAAGCTGGGACATCACATGGCGACAGAAAGATCAAGTGTGAGACATGGGATAGACTGATGGAGGGGAACATGGTGAGATAGGCAGCAGGGACAACACATGGCGACAGAAAGATCAAGTGTGAGACATGGGATAGACTGATGGAGGGGAACATGGTGAGATAGGTAGCAGGGACAACACATGGCGACAGGGAGATCACGTGTGAGACATGGAGTAGACTGATGGAGGGGAACATGGTGAGATAGGAAGCAGGGACAACACATGGCGACAGGGAGATCAAGTGTGAGACATGGGATAGACTGATGGAGGGGAACATGGTGAGATAGGAAGCAGGGACAACACATGGTGACAGGGAGATCACGTGTGAGACATGGTGATAGACTGATAGGGGGAACTTGGTGAGATAGGAGATGGGGATAGACTGATAGGGGGGAACTTGGTGAGATAAGAGATGGGGATAGATTGATAGGGGGAACTTGGTGAGATAGGAGATGGGGATAGACTGATAGGGGGAACTTGGTGAGATAGGAGATGGGGATAGACTGATAGGGGGAACTTGGTGAGATAGGAGATGGGGATAGACTGATAGGGGGAACTTGGTGAGATAGGAGATGGGGATAGACTGATGGAGGGGAACATGGTGAGATAGGAGATGGGGATAGACTGATACGGGGAACTTGGTGAGATAGGAGATGGGCATAGACTGATAGGGGGAACTTGGTGAGATAGGAAGCAGGGACGTCACGTGTGAGACATCGTGACAAACTGATAGGGGGAACTTGATGAGATAGGAAATGGAGATAGACTGATGGAGGGGAACATGGTGAGATAGGAGATGGGGATAGACTGATAGGGGGAAGTTGGTGAGATAGGAGATGGGGATAGACTGTTAGGGGGAACTTGGTGAGATAGGAGATGGGGATAGACTGATATGGGGAACTTGGTGAGATATGAGATGGGGATAGACTGATAGGGGGAACTTGGTGAGATAGGAGATGGGGATAGACTGATAGGGGGAACTTGGTGAGATAGGAGATGGGGATAGACTGATATGATGTGAGATAGGAGATGGGGATAGGTTGATAGGGGGTGAGATAGGAAATAGGACTAGATGGAGGGGAACATGGTGAGATAGGAGATGGGGATAGACTGATAGGGGAACAGGTGAGACGGACAGGATGAACTTGGAGCTGTTAGAGATGGGATATGACTGATGGGGAACTTGGTGAGACAGTGAGATGGGAGATGGGATAGACTGATAGGATGTGAGATAGGAGATGGGGATAGGTTGATGGGGGTGAGATAGGAGATGGGGAGAGACTGGATGGGGGAACATGGTGAGACAGGAGATGGGGAGTAGACTGATAGGGGAACTTGGTGAGATAGGAGATGGGGATAGACTGGAACAGGGGAACATTGGGACAGGTGAGATAGGAGATGGGATAGACTGATGGGGAGAACCCGGTGAGATAGGAGATGGGATAGACTGATAGGGGGGAACATGGTGAGATAGGAGATGGGGATAGACTGATAGGGGGAACTTGGTGAGATAGGAGATGGGGATAGACTGATGGGGGGAACTTGGTGAGATAGGAGATGGGGATAGACTGATGGGGGAACTTTGGTGAGATAGGAGATGGGGATAGACTGATAGGGGAACATGAGTGAGATAGGAGATGGGACATAGACTGGGGGATGGGAGATAGGAGATGGGGATAGGCTGGGGAACGGGTGAGATAGGAGATGGGGATAGACTGATGGGGGAACATGGTGAGAGGAGATGGGGATAGACTGATAGGGGAACTTGGTGAGATAGGAGATGGGGATAGACTGATGGGGAACTTGGAGATAGGAGATGGGGATAGACTGATAGGGGAACATGGTGAGATAGGAGATGGGGATAGACTGATGGGGGAACTTGGTGAGATAGGAGATGGGATAGACTGATGGGGAACATGGTGAGATAGGAGATGGGGATAGACTGATGGGGAACATGGTGAGATAGGAGATGGGGATAGACTGATGGGGAACTTGGTGAGATAGGAGATGGGGATAGACTGATGGGGAACTTGGTGAGATAGGAGATGGGGATAGACTGATAGGGGAACTTGGTGAGATAGGAGATGGGGATAGACTGATAGGGAACTTGGTGAGATAGGAGATGGGGATAGACTGATGGGGGAACTTGGTGAGATAGGAGATGGGGATAGACTGATGGGGGAACATTGTGAGATAGGAGATGGGGATAGACTGATGGGGGAACATGGTGAGATAGGAGATGGGGATAGACTGATAGGGGGAACATGGTGAGATAGGAGATGGGGATAGACTGATGGGGGAACATGGTGAGATAGGAGATGGGGATAGACTGATGGGGGGAACATGGTGAGATAGGAGATGGGGATAGACTGACAGGGGGAACTTGGTGAGATAGGAGGTAGGGATAGACTGATGGGGGGGAACTTTGTGAGATAGGAGATGGGGATAGACTGATGGGGGGAACATGGTGAGATAGGAGATGGGGATAGACTGATGGGGGGAACATGGTGAGATAGGAGATGGGGATAGGTTGATAGGGGGAACATGGTGAGATAGGAAATTGGGATAGAATAATAAAATGGAACAGGTACACAGATATAAACAAGCAACGCGGTACATGTGAACTTCAATCTGATCTTAAGTTTGTGCATCAAACCTTGAAATATCACACGAATTGTACTCTTTAGTGTCTCGGGAATCAAAACCCAATGAACTATTGAATCGAGCTGCCATCAGCATTTTCTCAACTACTATAATTGGAAACGTGCAGCGTGACTTTTTCATTCCATCGAAGTAATGTTCTGTAAGATCACGTGTTGCTCTTATTTCATTGTCAGCGAAGGCCGAGAAATGTTAAGCCGAATATAACTTTGAAATTACCTAGGTTATCCTCATCTTCTTACCTGGCTCCAGCACGTGACATTTAACGACGCCAATAAAAACTCCATACGTTTTCTGCCACAAAACGCGAAAACAGACCTAATTAGAATTCTTGATAAACCAAATTAACGACAGGATTTAGACACATTTCTTTCTTTTGTGTACAGGCGACGTGAGAAATTGTTTATCAAACAGTTAATTTCTGTGAAATGAAACAGTGTCTCCGGCGATAGCCGACGCAGGTAACGCACAGGTCGGCGGCAACATCAAACCAGGGACGTGTCTCATCTCCTTGACAAATATGTACATTGCCACGTGAGAGAAGTGCGCCACCTACCTAATGTATTCCCTGTCCAAAGCGGTTATCTCCCTTTGAATTGCAGAAACGTGACTTGAAAAACATATAGTATGCTTTTAAATTTCCTCTAATTACTGCGATATCGACCCATTTCTAAAATATATCGGAAACCTAAATCAGCCATAGGCACGTTGCATTCTGACAAATTTAATTACGTTTCAAAATGAAATTGACAACATACACTGGTTTCATAGTTGAGTCGACATAGTTTACACAACCCAGTCTAAATGATGGTTGAATGTGGACAACATTTTCATTGTATTAATAACTGCCCATATAGCTATAATTCACAAACAGCCAAACGACAGCCATTCAAAGTTGCTGGCAATGCACTGGCCGCTTGGACGGGCGTTATCTGGGTTCTTCCACACCCGCATCTTCAAAAGGCAAGCGTCCACAGCCCAGGCCGACTGAAGTTAATATAATGATTGACATTTTATTTTCTCTTAATTGGGGGATGATAGAACGGCGCATTGGGGATTCGCTGTTTATACGGAGTTTGACTGGGTTATATGTGTTCTCTCGTAATGAATTTGAACTCCGTGCCCTAGGTGGATAAAAGGTAATAAATGTCGGTATCCGTCCATGGGTCAAAAGGCCCATTGGTCCTACTGGACAGGGGTGTCTTGGTGCGGGACGTCGGGCTGCATTACAGGGGATGGTTAGTGAAACAATGTATTGTTGCTTAACCTACTCTCTGCTTCATCCCGCTGACAAGTACCAAGCTTCTAACCAGGGTTTTAGTTTTTTAAACAGAGAAAATATGCACCCAGAGTAAAGAAAATATTTCAGCGAGTTAATCTCATCGTCTCCAGGTTAAATGCATGCATGTTGGTACGATCATGGGTTTCACGAACAGTTTAAGTGAATAACTGTACATCAGCGTACACCTTTAACAAGAAGATGCGGGGTCTATCTCATTGTCCCATGGCAACCACATGCGGCGTTGTGATAACGGGTAAATGTTTTACTGTAAAGTTTGAGGCGAGAGCACGGATCTTCTGTGACAAGTCATACTGGGGCACTGACGGTGAAACCATCCGTGCATTGACAAATTCAGAACACTAATGTGATGGTTACATTTATTCAGAAGCCGAAAATCAGATTGAATGGTCTGATGTAAATGATGAGATGAATACACAATGCCACATAGAAAGTGATCAAATGTAACATATGTTATATTTGGGATTACACTTCCTTAGTAAAGTACAGATTCTAGTACTTTTGTTGGGTTGAGTCCCATCCGGGATTCGAACCCACACCCTCAGAGGCAAGCACCTAATTGCCAGGACACACTAAATGATGGGTTTGATGCTGTTTGTTGCAAAGTGCAACACAATGTAAATGCATAATTTGAAACGCTAACAGATGATGTACAAGGAGGCCTTGTACCGCAGAACTTCTGTAATGACCTGTTGGACTGGCAGTTGGTGGGGAACTATATATATAGGCAACATACTTTATGTACGACAACTTCTATATTATATTATGATGTGACTTTCGATATAGATTCTTGTACCGTCGTGAAACAAGAGTGAAGTACTACAGCACAGAACACCTCTGATAGGGATTGACTATTACAACATGATGGTACGCCTGAAAAGGATTGACCAGAGTGGCTAACAACTTCAGAGTTTCCGTCAGTTTCAAGACATATATATGCTACTGCCATGTATTTGGAACTGAGGTAAATATATATAGCAAGCATATCATTTGTGTGAAGTCTCCCTTTAAAGTGTTTCCGTCGCTGTAAAGTGCAAGCATATATTGAATATATATATTTTTCGCTGTAACGTACAAGCATAGAATGAGTGTGCCTGTGCGACGAGTTCCTTTAAATGCATTAATGTAAGGTGAAAGTAAAACATGATTTTCTTAGATTTGTTTTCTCCCTGCATGATACAAGTAAATCACAAATCCACCAGTGCGAAGAGTCTCTTAACTTGTTTCGTCCCTATGTTTCAAGCATTGCATGAGTCTACAAAGAGGGAAAGTTTCTTTAAAAGTGTACGCGGCTTCTATGCTTCACCTCTGTGGTGAGTTTTATAACCAGGAAAGTACCTTTAAACATCTACCAACTTCACTAGGAGGCTGCAGCTCTGTTAGTAGAACCAAACTCTACAAATCAGTGAGACCAGAGACTGTTTAAATATCCACGTCTTAACGAGTCTGACATTTCGGCGTGTTTATTCTGGTCACGTGACGTCTCCTGATTACTTTCTGTTTAGACTGTCGGTGAGGGTTAAAGGTCATCCCATGATACCTGCTGGGTGATGGGAAGATCGGGAGCTGTGAAAGGGAAACATCCAGACAACCCGTTTCCGTCAACAGTTTCCTCTGAAGCAGCATGTACATAAAGAAATACAACTTACAGCGTGTAATTCATTTCTAGCTTGTGTATCGGAAACAAATTATGTCATTGTTATCTAATAGAAAATTTGATGCATGATAACAGAGACAGTTATCTATACTTATGTATACGTACTTACTTGCGTCTAGCGTTGACAATAAAGGAAACAGGTTATGTTTATGCAAGGATAATTGTCAGGTGTACACGGATGTTTCTTAACTTCAAGACAACAATCTCGTAATGATGATGTTATTGTTTTCAAACAATTAGGCGCGTCTGCGTTACGATACTGTATTGGCATGACTTCTCTAAGTGGCTTTTAGAAGTTGGTGTGATCAGCAAGGGTGTAGTGCTATGGATGTACAGCTTCTTTATTATATGCGACGTTTCAGTGTAGTTGCTAACACTGATGTCAAGCAATATCTTGGGATTATCAACCGTGAATTTTCTTTCTGTTCCAAATCCTTTTTTATGGGATATTTGACAGCGAAATTGGCTGATGAGAATTAAACAATCCCAATTGCAGATTTGCTGACCTTTAGGAAATAAGACAACATTAACTCGGCAGTTACAGCTGAAGGGAGACACGATGTCCTGGGAAAGCCTAGGTTTCTTCAACTATAAAGGACAGGATTACAACACTGTATATTTTGCATCGGCGTATGTTACAAGTCTCATATACAGTCGAGACGGTTCAGGCATAATGTTTCTGATTTAGTGTTGTTTTCGGAGTCAAAGATCGTCTATTTCAGTCTTGCCATTGGATATAATCCGCTCGTAAAACAGTCCGACCGAAATTGAGCCATCACACGCCAAGGCAAATCTCTCCACATCAAGGGTCTATTGTTGGGAAAGCTGCCCCGGCTTGAGCAACCTGCTGTACTAAGTGTGTGGTCACTCTTTTGTTCCACTTGATATTTGTATCAACATTTTTTCAACATTGGTTATCAGTTTTCCCCGATGGTACATGAATACCCAGGCGTAACGAATTGGTCATTCAGCTTACCCCCTCGGCGTTCACTTATGGCAAATAAGCTGAGGTGCTGTTCAGTAATCCCGTGACACACCCATCCCCCGCCCATCTTCTCTTCAATAACCATCCTCTTGAAATTGCCCATCGCCAGTAGTCAAATATATTGTCGGATTTCCATACATAACTTGTTGTACACAAACCTGACTAACAAATGCAAACTAAATTTCCAATTGAAAACCGTGCCTTTCTATTTCTCTTTCTCTTTTAAGAATTTGTCCTCAAATATTTCACATATCAACATTGGATCAAATAGCAGTATAGTTCCATATTTGTAGACTCTGAAAAGGTTATTTCAATGAATTCGGGTGGTCATGAATTAAACTGACACACGGAAATCATTGTAACGGTTGTACATGATATTATAGTTCGATGACAAAATCCGGACTTTCTTGAGATGTTGATTCAAAGGTAGGTAGGTAGGTAGGTACGTAGATAGGTAGGTAGGTAGGTAGGTAAGTAGGTAGATAGGTAGATAGGTAGGTAGGTAGGTAGGTAGGTAGGTTGGGTAATGCCAAGTATTTAGGTAAGGTAGGGTAGAGTAGGTAGGTAGGGTAATGCAAGTATTTAGGTAGGGTAGGGTAGGTGGGCTTGTATAGGTAGGTAGGTAGGTAGGTAGGTAGGTAGGTAGGTAGGTACTGCAGGGACACCTGTAAAGAGATCTACCATGGCGGTGTTACACAGCAATACGAGAGCACTGAGTGGCAGGCAGCTAATTACTCTGTATATTGTGTCCATCTTATCAGATATCAACTCCGGCTAAGACCTTCTCTACAAGTTACAGCGGAACAAAAGCTAACTAGTCTAAAGCCTAATCGTAAAGCTGAGCACCCCGACAGAGAGAAAACTAAACCTACAGGAACGATATAGTGACGGGGCCTGGCGCCTTCTCCTGCCTACATTGCCCGGATTCATAGTTTATTGCAATTGAAAGGGCTGCCTTACTGGTGCTGTCGTACGTCTGGTGGAAGTCCTTTCTGTCTGTGTTTACAGTCTGAGAGATGCCCACTGTTTGTCAATATGTTCATGTATGCATACAATCTCTTGGATGGGGTTTAGTCTCCACCTGTAATGCTGTCAAACTAGTCTCAAACGGTCATCATTTTGCTCAAAGTTTCTCTGAGTTTACCTTTTTCTCATACAGAGACCAGTAACTCAAAGCTATTCCCTTGTTATCTTGACATTGGATTAAGAAGCTAGCTAAAATGTTTAATGTTAATACTGTACAGGTGAACATTACACGTTCATGTATTACACTTTCAGTGATGCATCGGAATGTTGTGAGATCGCCACTCACCGATTTCATTAACCGTTGTGAATCTTGTCGAGTGTCAAGTTCAACATAGCAGTATTGAGCCGCGGTCCATTTCGTGAACGTTAGCAACAGTATTGTCAAAAGAAAGGTTACCTAATAGCAAGTTCATAATAAAGACATTTTCTCTTTTTTCGATAAGACAAACACTTCAGTAAATAATGTAATTTGTTGCATCAAAAAGGGGCAATTACTAGCGTTGTAACCATATGCGCCCAATGTGTAGTGTTGTGTTACGGTCTCCTTGTTAGTTACGATCTGGGAGTTAGGTGGTCCGTTCACGCGGCGCGCCCACCTGTGGCTGAAGCTGAGAAGAGGCAATCTTCTTCGAGTACTGATTCATACCTAATTTCTTCTTCATATATGGGTACAATACCAGCTGTAACCTTTGCGCCTTGTAACAGAAAGAGTTTTTAACGCGAGCTGTGTCGAAACTGGGAATGGGCAGGGAGATCGCTTAGGTCCTTGCTTTTTCTGTTCACGTTTCAGTCTCTTTCAGCTAAAATAGATGCAAGATCACGCGTAGGAAAATAGTACTAACATGTCAAAGGTGCAAAGAAGTTGTCAGGTAATCACTATCTACGACCCCTAAGACGATCAAATATTTCACTTTACGTTTTATCCACTTGCAGTGGATGTGTATTTTCATACAAATTGTGTTTTCTCAAGTGATTGTACAAAGAAGGGATTTGAAGAGGGCAGCATCATTTACCCCTATCACATTCCCTATCACCGCTGGCTGTTTGCCCTACAGATAGTGCGGATTCCTCGGCCCGTGGGCACTTCACAGAGAAGTGAAGTCGCTCCAAGAATTCATCTCCTTACTGCGACTCCGACAACTTCCTCTTACTGTCAGTAATACCGTTTACCTGCCCAACACAATAGAAGTCTCATTCAGAAATGATGAACACAAAATTAACAGCTATTTAAATATGTTTGGAACACTTTCTAGCTGGTACAAAAGACATTTACCATTACAAATATTATTGAAATGTTATTACTAATCAAAATGTTGTTTACGGATATATACTACTCACCATTATAAACGTTCCAATATGCTTACGCTTTTAAAACGTTTAAACTGATTATATTTTATAATTGCGATGAATAATGAAATCATCAGAGTATGCTACATTTTTTATGAATAATTGTGATGATGGAATATCATCCTCATATCTTCGAATAACCTCAAGTAGAGATATATGTATACGTTACAATGATATGAGTAACGTGCAAGTAAGAGTACAAACGGACTCGCAATGGTCAGAGCGTTATATTATGTCCTAACAATACAAGGTTTTCTTGGTGTGCAACTTGGATGTGTGTCTGTCTCACAATAGTGATTGAGTTGGGTTTAATGCCGATGTGTAGAGTGTTATATTTATGTCTGGGCGTCTATAAGAACAATTTACATTTACAACACAATGAATACAGACAATAATATGAAAATTAGGAACCCGGAATTATCTTTTGAAACATACAGAAATAGTTGTGCTATAAGCATCTAGACATGCTCGGAATGATTAACAAGTGTATTTGTAATAAATGTATGAATGATCTCTCAATATTGTTAGCAAGGTTATTATGTAATATGATAATGTTTGTGAATTTTCGGACCAATGTGAAAGAAGTACAAGCACATACATTCATCCGTTTTTCCATTTGAATTGTGTATTTATCCTTGTTTTAACAACTACTCCAATGAAATGAAACTATTTACACTCTTACCGCAGTCCAGTTGATAATATTTCCCTTTCATATATTTCAGATTAAAATTCGTGTTTGTTAATCTTTATTAAATGTATTTCAGAACATCGTTTCAATTACATCATAAAAATTATTTCTTATGACAAACCTATGTTTGTACTGAACAAGCGCAACATGTTACTGCACCTACACCGATATGTTCCAGGCAGATTACAAGGCTACCCTACATTATACTGGTTGTGTTCTTTATACTGTAAATCCCTGTATGTGCCTTGACTAACCACGTCACGCCATCATACCGTCCACAGTACGGCGAGTACCACTCACGTTGTGTTTTATGAACGTACTACTGGCCGGGTTCAAGACTTTTTCCTACTTGAAAACTCGTATCCATCTACATGTGTTTACAAAGGAAACACTTGAAGATTTGCCCAGTTCACCGCCTTATACGAAACAAGTCTGAACGGAGCTGCCCGCCTTGCCATACACCACTGCTTGATACCAATCTCACTTATGAGGATTAAAGATAACGAATTAAATTTCAAAGCGACTAGATTAGGAGACAGATTTCTGCCAGCGTCATTTCAAGCTAGATATGTCTACGTTTCATTGTTTGAATTATGAGTAAGTTTTGACCGGAGTTTTCGCGTGTCACCCTCAGGTTGGGGCAGAGAGTATAGGGACATTGTGCACACGCCCTCGCGAGCTCTGACGGCTAAGCTGATTGGCTGAAAGTTTGGCATTGGGCCAGGCTCGTGCCCTCGTCCATGCAAGTTGAGTACAAACAGTAGAGTGTAGGATTCGCGTGCCGCTGGAAGTTTCACATTTTATAATCGTGCTGGATTCGCGTGGAATAGTTTAGACATGGCGACTGAAGATTCGCCGAGGAAGCGTCCTGCTAACGGCACCCAGAGAAGGGTATGTGAAAACTTATTCCGTATGTTACTATGTGTGTTAGGAAGTGCGTCTCCAGTCAACCCGCAACAGGTCTTGACAGATACTCCCAGACAAACTCTGCTTAACTAGAACTCCTCTACAGTTGAACAGGATATACAACGTGGTTGTTAGTTAAATATCCAGAAATGTGCTGAAAACTATCATTGTTGATATATCCTTGTTCCTATATCACTGTTTAATTATGTATGTATGTATGTATGTATGTATGTATGTATGTATGTATGTATGTATGTATGTATGTATGTATGTATGTATGTATGTATGTATGTATGTATGTATGTATGTATGTATGTATGTATGTATGTATGTACGTGTGTATGTAAACATGTTATATTTTCTAAATATGTTATACTTCCGTATGTTTTAGATCAATTATTAGAACATTGAGAAAATACCTGGTGATACGGTAGAACAGAACATACCCGTTTCGCGAATACCCGGAGCCGTCTTGCATTTTCAGTGATTCATTCGTATATTTTCAATGCTATTTCACAAAAAAAGTACTGATTAAATATCCAAATGTGAATATGACCTATGTAAATAAAAATATCAATATCATATCACCAAAGCTTATCAAACTGTCACGCGGTCTGAGACGCACCCTGCCACGTTAGTTACCCCAGCAACGTACACAATCTCCCTAAGGTGTAACGGTGCTGACTAATTAAAAGTCAATAACTATTTATGATGTCGCGCTTGACTTGTGCCTTTGTTGGAATGTCACGTGGACCGATTACATCTTTACTTGTAAACCACACGTTGACATACCGAGTGCATCGACATGCAGGAGGTAAATATGTATACATGCATAACCCACAACCCAGTGACAGCAGACCTATTGACAAAGACAATACGAAACAATGGTCTATTTCCAGTACACAAAACGTGGGCATGTCAAACGTGAACCTTGCAGAACTCTCGGGGACTGTAGTATGGCTAGGTAACCATCAATGTGAAAGCGAGCTGTGTGTGTGTGTGTGTGTGTGTGTGTGTGTGTGTGTGTGTGTGTGTGTGTGTGTGTGTGTGTGTGTGTGTGTGTGTTGCATTCTATTGTGTGTATTGGCGTACTGATATTGTATTCAGAGCTGAAATCTGGTCCCGAAACTTTTATTTGCGTTGTAATACACTAAAGATAGACAGTATGTAATGCGTAAGTTTGAATTAAAATGACATTAAAGCGAAATGTGGATCGATATCTATTCCATGTTTGCTTCCAAAGAAAAAAATAGATAAAACGTTGCTTTATTATAATTTGTAAAAAGTAATGTTACACACCTTTCACGATTCTTGTAATCAAACACAGTGATTCACACTCACTCACTCACTCACTCTCCACATACCTGTCTGGATGCCATCCTTCGAATAGCCTCCTCTAGTCTCTGGTTCTATACCTCCACCCAGACGGTGGTATCATCTCCCCCACCTTTCCTCCTTCAACACGTCTCGGTTGACAGCTTCTGTGACCTACCCAGTGATAAACAATCTTGAATGACACTAATTTTATCTTACGTTTTTCTTCACAAATTTTAAGCTATATCATACATAAACCCGCCGTTCTGACATAATGTGCCAGTCTTTTGATAAACTAACACCCAGTTATTGTCTGGGGGAGCCCACGGTGCTCGGGTATCTGTCCGGCGAGAAGTATCGGGTCGCGCTATCATGCCATATAAATTCATCCGGCAAGCGATCAAACGACAAAGATTAACAACTACTCGTAACACAGATTTAGTATGGTACCAAAACTTGTAATTATTTGTAGATGAGAGATATTGATGTGTAAACAGAGATATGTCCTGATGCAATCTCCTCCGGCATTACCGTAGTAAGGACACTTGAGACGAATTTCTTTATATTATAGTACAATTCGTTTCCGTGGCGTTTTACTTAATTTTATGTGCGCTAATAATTGTGCACATCGTTTCCGTGATTACATGGTCAAAGGAAGTTTCACGTTTCTGATGTTAGATAAGGTACTGTTACTTCCGATTAGCCAAAATCCCCTGACAAACGTACACCGCGTCCCCTACCCACATCCAACAAAGGGACGTAGTCACCGTCAGTGTATTTCTGAAGAGGGATACGTTGTTCTCCAAATCTGGTTCAGTATATAGTGAGAGGGCAATAAATTGTTGGACATCAAGAACACAGCACGTGCCAGAAAGTGTTCAAGCAGGGTGCTCGTGACCAATCCGGACTTTCTGGTATTGCATGCTCATATATACCTGGGTCGGCATGGCGGTTATCTTGACAGAACACGGTCGTTGTGGACAGATTCGTTCACAACAGTGATAACTGTCTTTCTCTATCCCACAGATATGACAAGAGAAGGGAGGGGAATTACAGTGGTGGGGGCCACGATGGGGGTGGGGATAATGGTCTGTTTTGGGGGATCGGTGCCCTCAGGTTGTTGTACACTGAGAAAGCTATGTAAGATGATTCCGGCGAAATATTCACAAACCGCACGCGCCTGTGCTGTCAAATCCACAACGAAGAGGCAACGTGCCACTTAACAAAATCTCACATCATTCTCTCAAGCAAAAGTGAATTGTTTCTAATTACGAAAGCCCTGTCTTAAAATAAAATGCATTCATACCTAAAGATTATATTTTTCCTCGTTAGCTGCTATGTGCAGTCTCGATACCCATGTTGCTTAATGTGTTTGAGCTACTGGGTGTGGTGTTTAGATGGGCCGACAGCACAATGAGAAACGCATTGCATTGTTGCTCCAAATACTTTTCTTTTTACTTCCAAATTTACCTTTGAGGTATTTCAAGCTTGAGAATTAACGAGCAACACATGTCATACGATACACACAAAGGGTAACATGTCAAGTTCACTTTCAGAGTAAAATTCACATGTCCATGCCAAATCGTCATATGTAATGTAGAGTCGGAAACAGACACGTGGAAGTGAACACCTGATAGTTTAAGTACATATAGACATGCCAAATGAAAGCAATTCTTCACGTTAGAGTAACCTGCAATACAAGCACTAATGTGATACTGTATCAAGTTAATACCTGTTTTGTTCAGCTGACTCACCCTGGCAGTTACACGGGGGAAGTCTCATTGCTCTGACATGTTGGGATTAGCAGGAACCGTTATCAAAAGAACACTCCTTCTTGTAATGTGTGTATTAACCGGCAGTGCTCGCATGGCATCAGACATGCATACTTTTGAAATTTGTTCGTGAGTTATGCACAACTGGTCACTGTATACTGTGTATGTCATCAACGGTATCGGTTTGATTAGACTTGTTTAAGGGAACCCTTCAAAATGTTTAGATAATGGTAACTAAATCTTGTTAACCAAATTACATATTTAAAACCAATTAAAGACAAGTGTTATTTCAAATGAGAAGTTTGATTTTGTTGTATTTATTCCATTTGCATCATTGCGAGTCAGATATCATGCAGAATTTGATATCCTAAGCTTACCCTAACACACAGACACACAGGCACTCTCAAACACATACACACGAAATGATATCGTTGAGACAAATGTCGTACTTGTGGATGAACGCGTGTGAGTCCACTCAATCTACAGATCATGTCATGTGATTGACAAATGTCTTATTCCAGATATTCGTCTCCACATATTAATAGCCATCATCTACCTGTATCTGACATTTCGCACCTGGTTTGACAACCCAGTCAGGGTCAACATCGGTTGCCAACTCCGGCCCTGTGTACACGAGCGACGCGGTGGTTAGATGAACTCACATATCATATCAAATCTTGATGTATTTGTTTGTACACCACAATCTGTTCTTAATTGCACAGTAAGCATTAAAACGCAGACGTTGTGAACTCAGACAAGCCGCCGTTTCAGCGTCATACGTCATCCGTGTTGATGACGTCATTTGTCAGTTGGGAAATCTGTGAAAATGGATATTATATTTAGATTATCCTTAGATAAAAGTGCCGAGCCGATTGTATGACAAGTTTTGAGTGTGATGGGTAAATGGAAGGTCACTTGTATGTGAGATTGTCTAGAATTATTGATATCAATTGCATGTATGATTTGTCTAGTGTCATAACCATTTGCATGCATGATTTGTCTAGTGTCACAGTGGTCACTTGTAGGTATGAGTTGTCTAGTGTCATAACCATTTGCATGCATGATTTGTCTATCTTAGAAGCGATCACTGGTATAAGTTGTGTGCATGATTTGTTTTGTTTCACAGTGGTCACTTGTAGGTATGAGTTGTCTAGTGTCACCGTGGTCCCTTGTACGTATGAGATGTCTAGTGTCAGAGTGGTCACTTGTATGTATGAGTTGTCTAGTGTCACCGGGGTCTTGTATGTATGAGTTGTCTAGTGTCACAGTGGTCACTTGTCGGTATGAGTTGTCTAGTGTCACAGTGGTCACTTGTAGGTATGAGTTGTCTAGTGTCACAGTGGTCACTTGTACGTATGAGTTGTCTAGTGTCACAGTGGTCACTTGTAGGTATGAGTTGTCTAGTGTCACAGTGGTCACTTGTACGTATGAGTTGTCTAGTGTCACAGTGGTCACTTGTAGGTATGAGTTGTCTAGTGTTACCGTGGTCACTTGTACGTATGAGTTGTCTAGTGTCACAGTGGTCACTTGTAGGTATGAGTTGTCTAGTGTCACAGTGGTCACTTGTACGTATGAGTTGTCTAGTGTCACCGTGGTCACTTGTACGTATGAGGTGTCTAGTGTCACAGTGGTCACTTGTACGTATGAGTTGTCTAGTGTCTCAGTGGTCACTTGTACGTATGAGGTGTCTAGTGTCACAGTGGTCACTTGTACGTATGAGTTGTCTAGTGTCACCGTTGTCACTTGTATGTATGAGTTGTCTAGTGTCACAGTGGTCACTTGTACGTACGAGTTGTCTACTGTCACAGTGGTCACTTGTATGTATGAGTTGTCTAGTGTCACAGTGGTCACTTGTATGTATGAGCTGTCTAGTGTCACCATGGTCACTTGTAGGTATGAGTTGTCTAGTGTCACAGTTGTCACTTGTATGTATGAGTTGTCTAGTGTCACCGTTGTCACCTGTACGTATGAGTTGTCTAGTGTCACAGTGGTCACTTGTAGGTATGAGCTGTCTAGTGTCACCATGGTCACTTGTACGTATGAGTTGTCTAGTGTCACCGTTGTCACCTGTACGTATGAGTTGTCTAGTGTCACCATGGTCACTTGTACGTATGAGTTGTCTAGTGCCACAGTGGTCTTGAACGTATGAGTTGTCTAGTGTCACAGGGGTTACTTTTAGGTATGAGTTGTCTAGTGTCACAGTGGTACTAGTACGTGCTCAGGTGTCACTTGTATGTATGAGTTGTCTAGTGTCACCATGGTCACTTGTACGTATGAGTTGTCTAGTGCCACAGTGGTCTTGAACGTATGAGTTGTCTAGTGTCACAGGGGTTACTTTTAGGTATGAGTTGTCTAGTGTCACAGTGGTCACTTGTACGTATGAGTTGTCTAGTGTCACAGTGGTCACTTGTACGTATGAGTTGTCTAGTGTCACAGGGGTTACTTTTAGGTATGAGTTGTCTAGTGTCACAGTGGTCACTTGTACGTATGAGTTGTCTAGTGTTACCGTGGTCCCTTGTACGTATGAGTTGTCTAGTGTCACCGTGGTCACTTCTACGTATGAGTTGTCTAGTGTCAGAGTAGTCACTTGTATGTATGAGTTGTCTAGTGTCACAGTGGTCACTTGTAGGTATGAGTTGTCTAGTGTCACAGTGGTCACTTGTACGTATGAGTTGTTTAGTGTTACAGTGGTCACTTGTACGTATGAGTTGTCTAGTGTCACAGTGGTTACTTTTAGGTATGAGTTGTCTAGTGTCACCATGGTCACTTGTATGTATGAGTTGTCTAGTGTCACAGTGGTCACTTGTACGTATGAGTTGTTTAGTGTTACCGTGGTCACTTGTACGTATGAGTTGTCTAGTGTCACCGTGGTCACCTGTACGTATGAGTTGTCTAGTGTCACAGTAGTCACTTGTAGGTATGAGTTGTCTAGTGTCACAGTGGTCACTTGTACGTATGAGTTGTCTAGTGTCACAGTGGTCCCTTGTATGTATGAGTTGTCTAGTGTCACAGTGGTCACTTGTATGTATGAGTTGTCTAGTGTCACAGTGGTCACTTGCACGTATGAGTTGTCTAGTGTCACAGTGGTCACTTTACATATGAGTTGTCTAGTGTCACAGTGGTCACTTGTACGTATGAGTTTTATAGTGTCACCGTGGTCACTTGTACATATGAGTTGTCAAACGTCAAACTGATAACGTATGCACATGTCTCGTTTTATAGTAATCAGTTTGTCTCGTGTCATATAGTGATCACCTGGACGTACGATTTCTATAGTGTGTTTCTAATCCCTTTCGTGTATACATGTACTTGTCTAGTTTCATAGTGATTCTTTGTATACCCGTATTTGTGAATGTGTGATATGTCTAGTGTAATGTGATCACTTGCATGTGTGGATTGTATTATTTCCATATTGCCATTACTAGTAATTGACGCCAGCTTTGATGTGCATTTGGTGTACTTGCTCACATGACGTAATTCAGAATCGACATATCTTGACCAACAATTTACCTCACCCAATACAAAGACGATAGTGCCCATTCCGAAGCATATTTATATATCTGCCTGTATGCTTCCTGTAATCTGAGATCGCAGTAACAAACTCTCACTTCGCAGTCAGAAACCATTCGGCATGACCTGGGTTGACAACCGAACACTCCCCCTGGTGACGTTCAATGTGTCCCTGCTGGAAATGACGAATGTTTTAAACATAAGATATAAAGTTCCCAGCCACAGGGCAAAGAGCTGACTGTAGTTATAGTGTCGTCACTTAGCAGGGATATCTACTGTCTCGGATAATCTACAGGCGTCTGATGAACATGTCAATTTGTCACCTGTCATTATGCCATGCCTATGATGTTTCATGTCCCCCATGATAGGTGCAGTGATTCATGTGTCCCCCTTCAATAACATAGCTATGATTACCCGGGGAAGTATGTCGTTGATGTCACACCGGTCGAGATGACGGATGGCTGAAGTATGGGTCTCATTTGTCAACTGTGTCTTCCAAATTAACCAACAGAGCAATATACATCGGGGGTGGGGAGCGTGGATGCTGAATCTGTACGTGCTACTTGTACGGATACATGGGGGTCGGGTGGGGGCGGAGAGATAGACCGGCTCTAGGTACATGACACCGGGTGTTCTATGACAAGTTTCAATGTACTTTACTTCTCTCTAACATTCGACAGGGTGGTATTTGTCATGTTAATATTGGTACTTCTGCCGTTTGTACTGATAGGGTATGTGTGTCAACTGTGTTCACGATGTGATTGTGTCAATTGCATGATTTTGTTTTCAGCACAACAAGCCTCTAATCGAGAAGCGACGGAGAGCCCGGATCAACGAATGCCTGTCCCAGCTTCAGTCGCTGGTGTTGAAAGCTACCACTACAGAGGTACGTCAGGGCGACACATTGACCAGCACAGTCAGGGGTCATTCAGCATGGCTAGCTCCTTTACACGAATGAAAATATACGTCACGAGAATCTGTTTGATGACAAATAGATTTACTTTGATGTTTCATATGTAAATAATCATTTTACATTTCACAATAATGTTTTTTTATCAGATCTAATATTTCCTTTTTAAAACTCTACATGCCATAGCTTAAACAGCCCAACTTTAGCGGTCTCACACAATGATCACACATATCAGTGAACGATTTAAACAATAAAATCGGATTTTATCCATTTTACACATTAGGGCTTACTTAACATGTGGAGATTGAATACAGGTAATGTCATTGGTGGCAATTTGCCATACAGCTTCCGTTTTGACTTGCAGATTGGGCAGACTGAACATAAACTTTATTACATTGCAATAAACGGGAGATTAAAGTAGAATGGCACAAACCATTTGTAATGAGATGAATGCATATATTAACGTTCTGCTTCAAACGTTGTGGGAAACACTCTTGTTGATAATTATAATTATGGAATGCGCAAAATCCCATAAATATTTTCTTTTCATATCAGCATCCCATTTCATCATTTTATGTTCGCGACGGCGAATAAATGATGACAATTTTAAAGATAACAGTACAACGTCTCCACACCTCTTCATCAGAGACGGCGGCTAGTTTTAAGGGAGAAATAATAAAATTTCACTACATGTGTTAAGTCGGTAATCTCTGATGTAATCCGTCCCTAGCTGTATAGGCCTATCTCGCGGTCTGTGGTAGAGGCAGTTCACTCTATTACGTCCTTGCTTTTGAAGCCGTTTAGAGGATAGGTCACGTCTCTACGTAACGTAGTAACGTAGATCTGTCGTTACACTGATACGTATATACGTAGGAACGCAGCCTGCTTGTCTGTGTGATCACTCATCACCAAGCTGGTCCTAATGTTCAGTCGGACGAACTGTCTCCCAGGGAGCAAACTCTACAAACAGACGAAAACCATCACCAATCTCACGTGTCTAGCAATCAGCATATTTTAAAACCCCAAGGGTCCAAATCTAACCTATGTCTTAATGGAAGTGATGCTAACAGTTTCAGAGTCTTATTGTAATGCCGATCGAAACAAATCATTGCGGCTGCATGTTTACACGAAAGCTATGTTGTAAACGCAGTACTGTCGAATGAGATATATATGTAAGATATATATTCATTTCAGTAACTAGTTCAATATACACATCTCCACAGTGTAGGGGAATTGTCAGTTGACAGCAAATTACTAGAACTAAAAGAATCAGGCAATATGTAGACTCGCCAACGTTTGAGATTGTAATCAGACTGAGAACAACTTCCAAACAACCCCAGGTTATGCCACAGTCTGATTGGGGTCCTTGGCAAACTAGCAGAGACCCATTAGATAACATATGATGTATGTAAAGCCCTGCAATGCTTTCTTAGGGCGGAGGATGCATTCAGGTCCGTATCGTCTGCATCTCCTGTCACTGTCAAGAGAGGATGTCAGATACACTGGTCCCCAAAACATTTGCAAATATTTATTTAACAATACCAAGCACAATGAAGCCCCGCCTATCTAATCGTACTAAATTGTCATCGCCATCGGCGGATGGATTTCACTTGTCACATGTCGATATCAATCTTTTGTATCACTCCGCCAAAGTCGTCTGCTTCCTTGGGGGTAAATTGTGTAGCGATGCCGGAGTGATATACCGGTTTTGTAGGTTTCAATGTAGCATGTAACTGTCATGAAGAAAAAAATCCCCTGGAGATGCGATTAATTGACGTATTGTTCCGCACTATTTGTTGTTAGTTCCGCTAGTCCAGTAAACAACTGTCGTCTGCTCCCCTGTCTGTATTCATTGAGAAGAAGAAATCATGAAGAGCAGATTGATAATTAATGGCTGAAGGTATTTCAAACAGTCACAACAGATTACATCTACTGTCAGATGTCTCCAACTGTATTGATATTGTGGACAGAAATTAATTTTACTGGGAATAAAGCGAAGGTTTCCGCAAAGAATCCTAGAAGAATAGGACCTCCATAATAATGACAGAGTGATGGAATATGCGATCAAATCAAAACTGCAATCACACGAGAAGGAATCGGGACTGTATTACCTATTTGTTAGCCGTCCAAACAACGAGCTATGCAGACATAGGACTTACAGCCCAAGCCTGTTGATTGTGTTGAACTCTCAGCTAAGTCTTTGCAAATCATGTTTATTGCAATTTTAACTCGAGGTAGACCTGTCGCTTTCCCGGTTGTCTCGAACACATAGTTAAAATATGTTAAGGTGTGTTGGTCGTAAATGGTAATTAGAATAATGGTTTCAGTAGATGATGCGTCTCGCATCTTCACATCACTTCAGGCCCAGATACACGTGTTGATCGCAGGTTCTCAACATTAATTAGAGGGTGCGTCGACAGCGCAAAGACTGAAGGTCGTCGTGTGCCATAGGAAAACAAGCACGTGCAGGCTGCAGAAAAATGTCTTTCTTTAATTAACGCGAAGGGTCCGTCAAAGCAACCATCCCTTAAAGGAAACCCTGTCTGGTCACATATGCCCAGGTGGCCTTAAAGAAAAGTCCAATCCCTGAGCAAATTTATCACCCGTCTCTTCTAAATCTTAGGTATTTTCTAGGCTTTCGTGCAACTTCTTGCACCTTTGAGACAAGTTACGGGTCGTGAGCGACTAGTTAAAGGAACTAGGCCTTTTTTTAAACCCATCATAGCGTGCGGCCACATCTGTTACTCAGTTTGAACGCCTGGTTCCCATTTTGACATACCCAGTGGGCCAATATAAAACATATTAATTGCCCTATGTGTCAATTGGTGACTGTTTGAATCGAAGGTCACATGGGTCAACGATAAAGGGCACCTATTTCTATCGAGAGGTCTCGAGAATTACACGCAAGTTTGCCTATCGCGTGCAGTTTCCCGCCATCGTGATAAGAGCATGGGTTTTATTATACTTTTTGGACATTTTTTCAAGCAATTCAAATGATAGAGATGACGGATAGGGCTAATATAAAATACAGGGGATCTAACACTAATCCGAAATGGTGTTTTATTGGAATTTCTGAGGCTAGGAAATTACCTAGATTATTGCGCTGATCTTTCCATTTTCAAGGGCCATGGTTATATATGTGCCTGTTCCAATCTACAGGAGAGTAGGAGATTTAACTGGTAATACAATCTGGAGGTACATAGTTTACTTGAAGTTCAATAGGTTGTATGGATGCATAGTTTCAAGCGCTGGGTGGATACGGGGCTAATATCTTGAGTACAGGTGAAACGCACAAGTTTGTCTAACATTTAAACACAGGATGTGAGTAGCTGTGTGCGGAGAACAAGGATTGGATGGCGGCATGTTTATATACAGGCCAATCGGTTTATGGCTACATAGACCTAGAACAGGACGTTAGCAGATTTATACAGAAGTCAATCTATGGATATCAGTTTATCGGTACATAGACCTAGAACAGGACGTTAACAGATTTATACAGAAGTCAATCTATGGATGTCAGTTTATCGGTACATAGACCTAGAACAGGACGTTAACAGATTTATACAGAAGTCAATCTATGGATGTCGGTTTATCGGTACATAGACCTAGAACAGGACGTTAACAGATTTATACAGAAGTCCATCTATGGATGTCGGTTTATGGCTACATAGACCTAGAACAGGACGTTAGCAGATTTATACAGAAGTCAATCTATGGATATCAGTTTATCGGTACATAGACCTAGAACAGGACGTTAACAGATTTATACAGAAGTCAATCTATGGATGTCAGTTTATCGGTACATAGACCTAGAACAGGACGTTAACAGATTTATACAGAAGTCAATCTATGGATGTCGGTTTATCGGTACATAGACCTAGAACAGGACGTTAACAGATTGATACAGAAGTCAATCTATGGATGTCAGTTTATGGCTACATAGACCTAGAACAGGACGTTAACAGATTTATACAGAAGTCCATCTATGGATGTCAGTTTATGGCTACATAGACCTAGAACAGGACGTTAACAGATTTATATACAGAAGTCAATCTATGGATGTCATTTTATCGGTACATAGACTTAGAACAGGACGTTAAAAGATTTAAACAGAAGTCAATCTATGGATGTCAGTTTATCGGTACATAGACCTAGAACAGGACGTTAACAGATGTATACAGAAGTCCATCTATGGATGTCAGTTTATTCTGCATTGACCTAGAACAGGACGTTAACAGATTTATACAGAAGTCAATCTATGGATGTCAGTTTATCGGTACATAGACCTAGAACAGGACGTTAACAGATTTATACAGAAGTCAATCTATGGATGTCGGTTTATCGGTACATAGACCTAGAACAGGACGTTAACAGATTTATACAGAAGTCAATCTATGGATGTCAGTTTATTGCTCCATTGACCTAGAACAGGACGTTAACAGATTTATACAGAAGTCAATCTATGGATATCAGTTTATGGCTACATAGACCTAGAACAGGACGTTAACAGATTTATATACAAGCCCATCTATGGATGTCAGTTTATGGCTACATAGACCTGGAACAGGACGTTAACATATTTATACAGAAGTCAATCTATGGATGTCAGTTTATCGGTACATAGACCTAGAACAGGACCTTAACATATTTATATACAGACCAATCTATGGATGTCAGTTTATGGCTACATAGACCTAGAACAGGATCGGACGTTAACAGATTTATACAGAAGTCAATCTATGGATGTCAGTTTATCAGTACATAGACCTAGAACAGGACGTTAACAGATTTATATACAGACCAATCTATGGATGTCAGTTTATGGCTACATAGACCTAGAACAGGACGTTAACAGATTAATACAGAAGTCCATCTATGGATGTCAGTTTATCGGTACATAGACCTAGAACAGGACGTTAACATATTTATATACAGACCAATCTATGGATGTCAGTTTATGGCTACATAGACCTATAACAGGACGTTAACATATTTATATACAGACCAATCTATGGATGTCAGTTTATTCTGCATAGACCTAGAACAGGACGTTAACAGATTTATATACAAGTCCATCTATGGATGTCAGTTTATGGCTACATTGACCTAGAACAGGACGTTAACAGATTTATGTAGAAGTCAATCTATGGATGTCAGTTTATTCTGCATTGACCTAGAACAGGACGTTAACAGATGTATACAGAAGTCCATCTATGGATGTCAGTTTATTCTGCATAGACCTAGAACAGGACTTTAACAGATTTATATACAGACCAATATAAAGATGCCAATTTATGGCTACTTTGATCTAGTACTGGTTGTTAACAGATTTATATACAGACCAATCTATGGATGTCAGGTTATCGGTTCATAGACCAAGAACTGGATTTACCAGATTTAGTGGTCAAACTATTAATGTTAACATAATTATGTGTATTCCGGGTTTACACCAAAGCCTGCATGGCTGTTAACATATGGCTACATAGTATACAACTTGGTGCTATCATACGGGTATTTAGTCCGAGTTTTAGGCTCCCTTAACAAAGTTTGGGTATTTCTTCAACATAGACACGCGAAAGTTTGAGCACTAAGATAGTTTTGTGGGAAGGGGCCCTGGGTATAACGCACATGTTTAACATAAAATATTGCAGGCAATTATAAATACTGTAGATCGAGCAGATTCGCTACATTTACCGTTAGCATGTTCATCCCAAGCACGTGTTTCCAGGGCATCCACCTGATCAACAGGTGTTTACTGTGCTCTCCGTGGCAACTAGCGCCATGTGTATTGATGAAAAGTTGTAATAATTTAATCGAAATTTATTATCACCTATTATGATTGACTTTTAGGAACAGTGTTTAGTAGTGTTATAGGAAAATATCGATCATGCAATTCTTGTTTTCCGGATATCATCTGTTCAGCTGCCAATGTGTACGACAAAAAAACTGAAAATGGTAAGGTCATGGATTTGCATTTTACTACATATGAGAAAGAACGGTGTCTTCGACTGTACAGCCAGAACGGAAATAATGCTTTGGAGGAATATTGTACTAATTATGATTTGGTGCGAATATCGAAATGGCGAGATCTCAATCTGAACATTAGGCGACATTTATCAATCTCTTTTGGTGGACATACGGTTGCATGGTCCAATGTCAATCTTGTACCAACAATTTATGTTTGTTGCAGAAAATCTGCAGTGCTTCTGAAAATGAGCTGTTTGTTCTTCTCAGAAATTGATCGTTTGTATTAACTGAGCTCATGCGTTAGTCCGCTGATACTGTCATTGTTTTAACCCTCAGAATTCATCAACAACATGGAATACATTGAGTGCATCCGTAATTTTAAACAGCGTCAGTATTTGTGACAAATTTCGCTTGAGGCCAAACACAAACATCCCTGGCGTGGTATGGGGTAGAGTATAGCGGCAGGGGTAGTCATGACGTCAACCAACACTGTAGGCAACTTGTCCAGAGGTTGACCTCCACGAACCTTGGAGTCTCCAGACACTGTCGTCAATATTCATTACATCTGTAGATCACTGTATTACGTTAGTTCCAAACATTGTGACAACTGGGGGTTTTCTTGTTAGTAACTGTACACCCCGCCTTTACCTCAGTGGGTCTTACGTCCTTCTGTTCCTAGGTTCCCTACAAACTTCAAAATATCGATACGCTACCCTCTCCAGCACATATCGAGTGTTGAGTGAGTGAGTGACTGAGTTCAGTTTTACGCCGCACCTAGCAATATTCCAGTTATATGGAGGCGGTCTGTAAATGATCGGTGTCTGGACCATACAATCCGCGCAATGGGGAACGGATGACAAGTGTCAACCAAGGAAGCGAGCCTGACCACCCGATCCCGTAAGACGCCTCTTACGACCAGCATGGGTTACTGAAGGTTCATTCTTACCCGGACCTTCACGGGTTCGAGTGTTGAACGAAAACAGAATGCTTATAATTGATGTATAAATCATAAACATATACAAACATATTAATTCATTTCTAGCTTGGTCGCTTTCAAAGCCATGAATCCAAATTCTTAAATCGTGAATCTACCGTCATTCATAATGTTGAAGAAAGATGAAAGTAAAGCGAATCTGTAGCTTGGTGAGACAGCGTCTGGCTTGTCAGTGGTATTAGAACATGACAAAGAGCACGTACATGCCGTGATTACTGTAAATCACAATTAGCATAACAGAGAAAAGGTATTATAATGGGCGGTTCTTATCATATCCCACGTAAAGGAGACTTGACGAAGGAATGTTTTCACTGAATGGAAGGGAAGTAGGATTAACTGTGTCATAATGTTTATTATTTGCTGTCTGTCATGAGATGGAGAATGTTGAGTCTGTTTATCAACAATATGACTTAATGTAATTTGCAAGTGAATGATATAATTGTCATCACGCCTTAAGCATAACACAATATAATGTCTGTGGCCAATCAGTCGGTGATAGTTTGTGTATATGTTTTCATTATATCAATAAGTGTTAGGGGCCATTTTAAACTGTAACCGCTTTGCAGTGATTTCATGACATTGTTCTTTTTACCAGCTTATTGTTTAAACTCTTTCCCGTGTGTGAAAGGATTTATCATTAATAAACTCATCCATAAGCTTTCACTTTCCAAGTTTTGGAGCAGAGGTCACCTTGGGGTAGAATCTTGTTTGACAGCCTGTTGTAATATCTATGTGTAGCACTCCAATAATTTAATTTATTTTTGTTCGTGTACTGGTAGGTAAATGTCTTCTGTCATGCGTCAAAACAGACATCGCCAAACACAGAAGAGTCACAAGAAAGCCAAGTCAGAAATCAACAATACATGTGGCTAAATTAATGGTTTATTTCACGACGAGACGCTAGGACGTGTCACTACAGACGTTTATAGGAGAGAATGGGGGACAACAAAGAAAGATAACTCGTCGGATGAAAATTAATCCGCCATCTTTGATTTCACTACAGAATAATTCCAAAGTTACTGTTTCACTAAATCAATTCGTGGAGCTTACACACGTCTGCTGAGACCGGTTATTGCTGTAAGTGTAGCGATCGAGTTCCGGAGCTTCTAGATAAGTGCCGGGCATTTCTACAGGAAACAATACCATAAGCTGTTCAAGCCGCATCCTGCAAACTATTCCCATAAAGTCGTCTCATAGAAGGTGAAGTCACAAAGTAGATGTCTGGCATTCCATTTCATGCTTCTTGCAAGATATTCCAAGTTCTCTAGTAAACCTGAAACACAACTACCAGACACACTAGGTTCTGTTTACCACTTTGGGAATGAGTGAATGTTAATATTGTTGATATAGTGGTCCAAGTTGGTCGGGGCTGGGGATGAGTTTATATACAGCACTCAACTACAGTCAAAGGGCAGTACACTGATAACTTTACTAGTAATATTGTCTAAACTGCCGTATCTGGGTTGAATAACTACCTGACAAGTCCTTTTATATGAAGTCTGATTTTGACAATTCACCCTTGCCTACTATAAGCTTTCATATTCATATCCAGCCCATCACTTAAAGCTTGGGGTAATATGTTTGACACGTGTCTATGCTTATTCCAAAATTAGTGGGAGTTTGGTTCAATATCATTATTTTGTTTTAGAAATATTTACCAATGACACTCTGCTTATAGTCATCAGCATATTATATTTATTTGTTACTTGCAACTCTGGTGATAGTCCTCAGTAAATATATATGTATATGCTACTTGCAACTCTGGTGATAGTCTTCAGTAAATATATATGTATTTCTAACTTGCAACTCTGATGACAGTCATCAGTAAATGTATATCTATTTGTCATGTGCAGGGCCCAAGACCCAGCAAGCTTGAAAAGGCTGACATTTTGGAAATGACGGTGGACTACATCAAGAAGACTCGCGCTGTCGCTGACGGTGAGTACTAAGATAAAAGTGATGACTACAAAATAGAAGATGTGTATGTCGTGCATGCCTTACTCGGTTGTCCCCCAAAACATCCACTACCCTAGCCCTGTAGCCAGCCGCCACCATTCCCCACCCTGCCACGCACCCTCCTCGTTTGCCCCCGTCTCCCAGACACGTATATGTAGCACCCCCTTGTTCGGGACAATACCTACCAACTATACATAATTTACATTTAGATGTGATCTGTCTGGAAGCCTCATCATTCATAGGCCTCACAGATGCGGCATCGGGACGACCATTACTGGAGGACGTGACCTCCTACTAATACTTATAAATCTCAAGTACTATCATACTATCTGTGAGGAGGAGGCCACATACTTATAAACATTTGGACGTAATTGTCAGGGCCTCTATAAATATAAGCTCAGACAATATGTCTACTGTAACTGGCGTGGGAATGCAATGGTGGTTATGTATTATTGTAACAAACACTGTGCCGGGCTGTGCCGTTGTAACAGTGTGTGTGTATCTTCCGCCTGTCCATCGTATACATGCAGTGTGTCGTTATGTACCGGAATATATCACTTATTCACATGACCACACGGATCAGCGTGGAGGTGTGCAAGACACTAATTACCTGCCCTATATTCTCAGTGCGTGGTCGCCATGTCAGATGTGCTGCTGCTACTGGAGAAGTGGCCGCGGTAAAGTACATATACTCAAGCCAATAATGGTTGTCACCCCCCTCCCCACCCCAAACCCACACACACCCCACACCCCGTCTCCAATAACAACCATTATTGGCATGAGTATATTTCGTCCATAGCCATGTGCTGTATGTTCTGCATTGTCCAGTGTGATGTCCACTAAGTCACCAGCACGGGTGCATGAGACATTCCAGCCATTGTTTAGAACTGACCACCCCTGGGCTAATCTGTGACCCCCGGGCGAGTGAACAGAGCCTGCCACACTTACCCCAGCCCGACACGAGTCGAGATCCACTCCACAACGTAATGGGTTTATTTTGACACCTTTGTCTTGTTTTTAAATGACAGCGATGGTTGTATTACTCACAGACTTAATGTAATATGTTGGATTTAAGTCATTATTAACGGTCTGAGGGTCGTTTAATTGGGGTTAACAGGGTCAGGGGGCTGACGTGAGGACAACTGTGGCCCTGGTGGTGTGGTATGGTCCACAGATCCGGTCCATGAAGATGGATATAAGTGCCCACGGCCCTGTCCATCAGCACTTCTACTTTAAACATTACTTAAGTTTGTGTCAATTTGTAATTTTAAAACACCTCAAAATCTTCATGAAAGCATAATTATATATCGGACAGTGAATGATAACAGTGTGATATTTGAATGGAACAGGACGTTTATGAAATGTTTGTCTCATGTTACTTTCACTGCGACGATAACCCAATGCACACTCGCACACATATATACATGTGGCTGGCTGGCTGGCTGGCTGGGTAGATACAGAGATCAAGTTCATAATATAAAGATCATATTCCAGTTATATGTTACTACACAGACATTGTATGGTGTTTTCTTTGAGAATGATTAAGGTTTGAGTAAACACACTACACAGGCAAGGGATGCGATGTTTCCCTCTTTTGTCGTAAATACCCAAACGATTCTACCAACACTGACGTATTATAGGGAAAACACAACGAAGTGAAAATAAATCATGTTCTATTCAGTGGGTAGGTAGATAGGTTGGTAATTGGGTATGTTGGTAGGTAGATAGGTAGTCGGGTAGGTAGGTAGGTAGCTAGGTAGATAGATGGGTGGGTAGGTGGGTAGGTAGATAGGTAGGTAGGTAGGTAGGTAGGTAGATAGATAGATAGGTAGGTAGGTAGGTAGATAGGTAGGTGGGTAGGTAGGTAGGTAGGTAGGTAGATAGGTAGATGGGTAGGTAGGTAGCTAGCTACATATAGATAGGTAGGTGGGTAGGTAGGTACAGCAGTGCTAATTGTGCGACATGGCAGGCACTCAAAGATGCGGAGCATCACACTGCATGGGACTGCCAGTTGTTGAAGAACGCGTGTCCACGCTATGGCCTATGCTTCCGTTTTCAAGCCCCTCAGGGGTCAGGGATCAGGCAGAGGGAGAAAGTGGTTTTCTGACATCAGTTGTCATTTGGTATTTGGTAGAAGAAAATAGTTCTTAAATCAAGCGAAATAGCCCTGCACTACGTGAAGAAGACGCACTTGCAATGCGGTGCTAGTTTGATTTAAGAGAATGGATTACTCGCTTATTCTTGGCGATTTATCCACGATGCCAGTCATTTAACCCCTGCCCTGGCTACGGACCAACTATTGTCCGTCTCCAACTGACCAACCATCAATGGTCACATGTACAGGTGCTCAGGTCGGCACTGACCACATTAATTCGAATATTCGCGTGTGCCCGGTGGCTTAACCCTTCACCTGATAGCAATAAACAATGCCCAGTGGTCAAGAAGACACCTTCTCAGAATTCCTCTTTGTACATATCCCGAGAGGGCGTTCCCTGTTTGCAGACAGGCTGTGTCACTGATGTCGTGGGAACATACCGACAAGGGATGACAGTGTCCAGTAATGACGTCCACTCGATCACCAATGTTGAAACAGTAAATTATGTTTGATGAAAGCCGATACCAAGTATATATATAACACGAGACTGGACCATCGTTATACGATCTCCAGGGTGCTTGTAGTGTTGGTACAACGCGGAAACAGCCACACCACAATACGCCGTCGGTATATCAAATATTATGGCTCAGGTGGAGTTTGTTAAGTCTGGCATCTGAGATATTTTACTTTTGTCCCACACCTGTTTTTCTGTTGCAATGTAAATATCGAAACATGCTTTCGTGATCAGGCAGTTTGCAATTTTGTCAGATTGCCAACCGCAAAACAAAATATTGTGTTCAGGCTATCAACCTCTGGTTTGCTGCCATGGCCTCGAATATTTGCACACTCGTGATGTAGCTGGATTATTACAGACTGAGTATAAAACACCACAAGCCATCCATACTTGGTTAAAATCAAAGATAAACTGAATTCGAACAAATAATAGAAGTTCAGTGCTTCAGGCAACCAACGGCAAACACAACCTCATTTCAAATACGTACCTAGTTTCAATTCAGCAGGAATGAAAAAGTGTTAAGTTTTTTCAATCATAGACATGTATGAGTGTAGGCAAACCTTTGCTCGTGGTCAAGATTATAAAACATGGACAGTCTGACGTAAGTGTATGCATGTGTACAGTATTGACTGAAGTATATTTAGCGATACTGACCGCGCTAAAAGCAGTTAATCACTGTGATAGCCTAGATCTTCAATAAACCTACAGCGGCCGGATCTCTAAGTTTGGTGTGTTGGAGACTGGTGAATTTCTTTTCATATGTAGCGTATTGTTACCAGCTACATTCTCCCGCTGTGTTCCCCTGTTGACATCCACCCAGCTAAGCCTGACGGTGGTTTGACGTAGTACGGTGTACAGGCCCTGCATTTATCTACCTAATTATGTACATCCTTGTCACAACCAACACACGGAAACATCGGAATAATAACATACAGGTTTGTTAATTTCATGGGTCGCCAATCAATCGTGCTTAGTGTGTTGACCCTCGTGTCGCTGTAAACAACACTATTGTAATATACATACACCCGAGTAGGTTCTCCATCCAGGCTGTTTACGGTATGTGCAGCCGCGTCTAGACGTGTACAGTCGTGACAGATGCTGGAAATAATGATGCTCCCAGATTCACATCAATGATGCCCATGTGTGTCACCTCTCTGCATGCCTGTTACTCTCGGCTGTAACTGAATATTTCAGATGGCATTCAGCCACAACATGAAGACGCTGGGTGACGGCGTGTGTGGAAACCAGAAATACCAATGCATCATTGAGTTGATATATGTTGACAGACAAATGATTGGACGATGCTGAGATAAAACATGTCACCATGTAAACTTATACGTAGGTTACATATCGGTATGTAACACATATCTGTAGGTTACATTGTACGTACGCTATATATCAGTATGTAATATGTATATCTATGTTAAGTACTCATATGTAACATATATCACTGGGTTGCATATGTCAGTAGGTGATCTATTAATATTTTACATGTATGTAATTCAATATGTAGCATATACACGCAGGTTACATGTTAATTTACGATTTGTATATCAGTATTTGATTAAATGACATACAAGTACTTGTCATATATGTCATAGGCTACACATCGGTAACATACTGAAAGTGTGACTGTCCCTCCAGGTGGGCGGTTTTAGTTGATGATGATGATGATGATGATGATGATGCCTCACGTGCTCAGTCAACATGTCGTCACGGAGGAGCAACTATCCGTTGTTCCCGTGACGTTCTAAAGTCTTGATGCATGATTTACTTTAACAATCTGCACACACTTCTTTGCCAGTGTTAACCGTTAAATTGACATTTCGATCTGAATGCGATAGGCTCATCAGAATCAGAGGAAGTAATGTTTTCATTAATTGATTAACATCTCATGTTGACTGCGCATAAAAACACTGTCACCACCAATAAGTCACAAACGACTATCACTCCCACCCGTTGCTGCCACCGGCAATAGCTGTACTGCAGTTGTTGAAGGTGTGTTAAGAAGTATTCACTCACTCACCCAATCCCGTCGTTGACTAGTATATTTCTGTGTTAGTTACCATGGTACTATATGCAGTGGTCAGTATATACTGGTACAGGTCACTGTCCGGTAGACTCTGACCAGTAGCCCGCCCGCCTCTACCGACAGGCCAACACACTTCCAAGTCTCCAACTGGGATTACCGCTTTCGCTGTTTGACATCGATCGGTTTTGAGTTGCTAATCCAAGACTTAGTAGAATCCTTCTTTTCATAGGTGTTTGTTGTTTTAGGACGTTTATGTACCCTCAGTAAACTAATAATTTAAGTTCGGTGCTTCTAGTGTTACGCCATTATCTCCTTTTTTCGTGTGGTATGAGATCTGTTGA